TAACTTATATTTTAAAACTGTACTTAAGACAGTCTTAAATGTAAGAATCGACTATGAATACCAGCCTGTTTGGCGTCATGAAATTGATACTGAATTTTTCCTTGTTTAATACACTTTATATTTCTCTTTATACAGGGTGTTCCGAAAGTTTTTGCCACTCGCTTTTGTGTACATAGAGCGGACTAAACTGAGTCGAAAAGTCTTATACTACTTTGCAATTTTCGCAATAGTTTACAAGATATTAATTACTAAAAGTGGCCAAATATTGGTCTTGAATAATTTTTTACTTAAATACTATCAACTTTAGAAAACTACAAGAGACAAAAATCATTTCTTCTCATAAAGTTCTCAGAATTTTTTCAGAAATTTTTCAGAATTTTTTAATACCGTATTTTCTCATGTTGGTAAAAATAAGAATGCAGTACTAAAAAGTTGATAAAAAATTCCGAAAAAATTCTTAGAGTTCTATGAGAAGAAAATAAATGAGATTTTTGTCTCTTGCAGCTTTTCTGTAAAGTTGATAGTATTTGAGTAAAAAATTATCCGTGTTTCGCGCTATAGCTTAGCGCTGACACACTACCAGTGTCTCTAGATTCAAGACCAATATTTGGCAATTTTTAGTAATTAATATCTTGTTAACTATTCGAAAATTACAAAATGGTAGAAGGCTTTTCGGCTCAGTTTTAGTCCGCTCTATCTACACAAAAGCGATTGGCAAAAATTTTCGAGACACTCTGTATAGAAAGAAAACACATTTTATGTCTCTCTTTCTGTAGTCAAACTCGTCAGATCAGTAAATACATTTTAAATCCTACAATTTTTGTCTGAAACATTTTTGTCAAAAATGCTTCGTTTTCGAAATATTTAATCGGAATATTTTCCGGACTTTTTAAATATCTGTATGTATATCGAGTATATATTGATAGATCCTTTTTTTACTTTATAAGATATTTTTTAATAATCAATCATTTAAATGCAAAAAAATTGTTTTTTAAATGACAAGGCGATATTGCTTCTAAAGGATTAACATGAGTACGAAAGACTATTTTTTGCAACAAATCGCATTTCAAAACGTTTTTTTTCTAGTCCTTTTGTT